TAGGTGATACACCTTCTTGCTGAAAGCGAAGAGCACTTGAAACACTGATGAAGATTGAAGACAATAGCTTTCAGTATGGATTATATCTCAACATAAAATAAAAATCTCACAAATGAACCAACAAGCAAGATCACAATAAAAGGAGAAAATATGTAATTTTATTTGGAGTTACATCAATGCTCTTGGAAGCAGCAATCTGGAAACAGCAGTCAGGAAATCAAACAATGGATTATACAATACCTCTTTGAAATATTAAAAAGCAAAGATGTCACTTTGAAGACTAAAGTGCACCCAATCTAGGCCATGGTAATTTTAATTGTCTGATAGGCATGTGAAAGCTGGATAATGAATAAAGAAGACCAAGGCAGAATTGATGCCCTTTAATTGTGGCATTGCTGAAGAATATTAAATATACTATGGACTGTCAGAGAATGAACAACTCTACCTTGGAGGAAATACAGCCAGAATGTTCCTTAGAGGTGAGGATGGTGAAATTTTGTCTTCTGCACTTTGGGCATGTTATCAAGAGGGACTAATCTTGGAGAAGGACATCATGCTTGGTAAAGTAGAGGGTCAGCAAAAAACAGGAAGACAAATTAATAGACTGGCATAGTGGCTGACACATTGATTTCAGACATAGCAATGACGGTGATAATGTACACTACTGAGCAGTGTTTTGTTCTGTTGTACATAGGGTCAGTATGAGTCAGGACTGATGTGATGACACATAACAACCACTACAAGAGCATGCTTTAATGTGAAAAAATCCTCATAGCTATATATTTTTAATATTTAACATTTAAAATCCAATAGCTGTATGACTGGAATGAGAAGAAAAATCCAAAAGAAAATAGAAGAATAGAGAGGAAAATATTAAAATTTAAAGCAGACTGGTAAAATAGCACATTTCTATTTTTCTACATAGTCTTATGGCAGATACAAATGTTTCTTGGTTATGCTTAACCTTAATGATCAATCTCTAAATGGTTATAAATGGAATAATTATAAAACTCTTGTTTAACTTCTCTTTTACAGTAGAATCATACAACTTTGTACGCATTTTAAGTATTGAAAATTTGAAATATGTATAAGAAAGTAGAAAGAATAGTACCGTATATACTCATGCATAAGCTGAGGTGGTTTTTTGTGTTTGTTTTTTAAAAATTATTTTATTGGGGGCTC